ACCATATGGACGAATGTACAGGCATTTTGTTAAAAAATATTTATCTTTGTACAAATGAAAATGAAATCTGGCCAATTTTGTTGGCAAGAGTTGATGCTATGGTGTGGGGCGGTGTTGGCCGGCGACCAGCAAGCAACACCCGGCTGCAAGTTATTTGGAGTTATTTGGTAAAATTCGTTTATTTTCCACTGGTTAGTTAAATATTTTAACTAGGCCTGAAAAAGATTCTTATTATGATATGATATCTCCAGCGTGGTGGACTATGGCCTGATCCCCCTCGTATTGAAGGGAGGCCCACGCCCAGCAGTGGGACGTTAAAAATGGGTGAATATAAAAACAAAACAACTCTTGAGTTCTTACTTTTGCGTCATTTAAAGTCAGTGTTTTCAAAATTCCTTTAAAAGTACTTATTATCATTATTATTCTTTATTTTGAAATTTTATAGGAATATCCTTCAATATATAAAATTTATCAGTATACACCGAATAACCGAAAATTGATTAGTGTACCTCTTTCTTTCTGAAGTCGGTGAAAAATAAGGTGTGACAGAGGAAATTTGGAACATACGAGCATAAGAATGCTGTTTTTACTTTGTTGAAGTGAAAACTTGTACATGCAGGTTTGTTTGGATGGGGAGTAAATTCATGTAAGTCGTCATCAACATGGTCATGTGACGTGTCAACGCTAACACTCAGAGTGCCGATAGATGTCGACACCAGTTAAATTTAAATAAACATGTTTTATTTACAAAATTTAATTTAAGATCCAACAATTTGAATATGCAAAAAATATCTACTATTTGTTTATAGTTTTAAGTGTTCAATTCTATCGGCAGTTCTCATGATTGCTTTTTTTCATAGCAAAACCCTAAAATTGGCTTATAAAATACTATTGCCTTATTTTTCCATCGTCAGAAGTTCATTAATTTTTATACAGCAATACATTTTATTCAGAAATTCAGATGAAAGCCTTACATAAATTTCGGTATTGAAACGCACAATTAATGGTAGAAGTGGGGCAATTAAAGCGCTTGCCGATACAGATGGACTCAAACGCGGGGCCGCTTCGCTGCTATTTATTGGTACGACTTTACTTTTATATACTTTTTCAATTTATACAGGGCTACCCTTGAGATATTTGAAATATATAATAACAAACTAATATTGAATCAGACTAGTCGAAGATAGTTATGCAAATTTATTTATTTATTATTAAGCACACTTACAATAAACATGTTAAACAATTCTATACAATAATTAAAATAAAAAAAGAAACAGACATGCATATCAATTACAAGAGTGCATAGCATTTATAATATTATGGAGTTATTATAGTAATCGATAAAAAAAACAAAATTAACAAAAATTAGAAACAACATAATTTAAAATATAAAATAAAGTAACAATAAAAAAGTTAATTAGTAATCAATAGTTTTATAAAAATTATTATATCTATATTTAAATCACAGTTTGGATAAATAATATTCTAATAGTTTGTACTTAAATTTATTGAAGGTATCATGAAAAATATCTAATTCTGGTAAGGTTTTAGAAATAATATTGTATTGCGAACACATACGGACGATGGGAGATTGTGATCCGAGGTTAGTTTTGACACAGGGGATATGGAAACTATTGTATTTGCGGGGCCTTCGGTGCTTATAGGGAACTGCTAATTTGCGAGTTTCCTCCAAAAATCTAAAAAGTACTTTCATTAATAATATTCAGAATTCAATCTCATAAATCTCATGCAAAAATATACATTTTCAAGAATAAGTTATTTTTAGATTATATTTTTTTCTAAAAATCTGCTGCTTTTATATCTTCTTCCTCCTGACGAAAGTACTTACTTAAAACTTTACATATAAGACAATGAAATATCATATTTGAATCTGCAGCTACGAATATGAAGTCACCTGCAGCATTTGGCTAGCCTGGGCTTTGACTTAATCTTTCACATCAATCTTACAAATTTCCCCATATATATTAGTAATATAATGTAGTAGGTATATACTATTTGTTTATTAAAAAAACATACGATTATAAAAAAAGCGACCCACCTAATTGATCTCCCCTGTCTCGATTTTTCTTTCCACTTCGCTTTTCATATAACATAATTTATACACCGTTCTCGTGTTTTTTACTTAAAATCTATACAGTTTGGAAAAAAAATGTACAGGATTTTTTGATTGCCATTTTTGGCAGAAGACCAAATTATCTTTGCTTTCCGCCAGATTTTTGGCCGGAGATAAATGTAGGTACTTATTTGGGGCAGTAATTACTAAATAGACTTATATTTAAAGTTATACCGACTTGTGTTAACCGACTTCCAAAGAAGCAAGTTATGTGTTTGTGTGAAATGAAGTCTATGATTCATTATAGTATATGATTCAGGATATTTAATACTAGCAACTCAGGTAGGTATGTTTTGGCGGCCAGTGTGGAATAGATAGCATAGGTATATTATTTATAAACATAGGTATGATGAGTTGTTGCGGGTTGTAATCTAACGTGCTTTACCATGGGAATGAGATAATCTCCCGCGGTAAAAAGTAGCCTATGTCACTCTCCAGTGCTCCAACTATCTCCTAGAAGAAATCACGCCAATCCGTCACTCTGTTCTGACGTGAAAGAAGGACAAAAAAATAAACACACTTTCGCATTTATAATATTAAAGTATGGATTGGTAATTTGCAAAAAAAACCCGTCCGGAGCTTATATCTTTAAAACTGGGCATCGGTGAATTATTACAAAGACCTATATGTATGTTAAAATTTTTTATTTTTCGAGCTGATTTTTTCACTCATGTCATTAACCGACTTAGAAAAAGAGGAGGAATTTTTCTTTGTGTGTAATATACTATACTAGCAGAACCCGTGACTACGCCCGCGTTCAATCTACAAAAAAAATTTTTTTTTTTAGCTTTATTTTATACAGCGACTCACGTTCAGGTTCATCGCTATGTATTTATATAATATTGTTCATACAAAAATACAAAAATCGCGATTACAAAATGGGGGGTGTGGGTAGGGGGTTGAAAAATACTTTGGAACCTATTTTATACCTACCAAAATATACAAAAAAATCATTAAAATCAGCCGAGCCGTTTCGGAGGAGTGCCACCACGAACACCGTGACACGAGATATTTATATATTAGATTTTAGCCCTTTAGGAACTGAATTTTATAATAATCCTCCTGTCCTCATAGATTTTTATAGAAATATTAAGAGAAATTTTTACCTTTAAGGTTGGTATAATCGTTTTTAAAGTAATTTTGAAGTCGGTGAACCTTTTAAATCGAAAAATTATTAATTAGTGTTCGCCCAAAGATTGAAAGTCGACCGTAATCATTATTGATGAGGAAAATATATAGGTATGAATATTACTACCATAGAATTTGCCTATCTGTATTAAAAAAAAACTATTTCTAATTTTTTTATTGATAAAACTAAAGCTCGTCAATAGTTACTGAACAAAAATAAAAGAAAATTGTTTGACAAACAGAGGAGAAAAGGGCACTAAACTGTGTTGTCTTAGCCTATTTATATATTATACTAGCGGCTTACTCTTGCTTCGTTAGGGTTCGTCCCTCTAGGTACGTTACCTACCTTTTGGGTTTTCCCAATATTTTTATACTTAAGCCACCCCTGACATACCTCCAACAAAACAACAAAGAATTTGACATTTTAAATGGCGAATATATAGCCAGGACCGCCCAAGCCATTATATTCGATTCGATAGACCTCAAATCCTCGCGAAAGAAAACCGATATCGCCCTAGAATGACTCGAGAAGCCATAGAAATTAAAAAAACATCCAAATTTCAATAGGAAAGATGGCTGGGTACTATCATCGTCATGGGATCCTGTTATTAATATAATAAAATAAATAATAAATCTAAACATAACAGACAGGCAGATGTAATAAGTTCTTACAGTGTGGATCAAAATGACAGCATATCAGATTAATATTTTTCATTTTTCATTTGTAAAAGTATATAGTAATAGTGTTGCTTAGTACATTGTCTTTCTTAGATTTACGCGAATACTTGACATCTATATATATAAAAGAAAGTCGTGTTAGTTACACTATTTATTATTCAAGAACGGCTGAACCGATTTGGCTGAAACTTGGTGGGGAGGTAGCTTAGAACCAGGAGACGGACATAGGACTTTTTAGCCCGTTCGACTGCGTTCCCGTATACAAGACTCAAGAACGGCTAGACCAATTTTTATGATATTTGAATTTTTGGATTTCTCTCATTCCGGAATAGGTTAATACCTAAGTATTAAAACGTCAGAAAAATTAACGAAAAAATATATTTATATGGCTAATAACACTGGCTAATAACTATTTATATCTATTTAAAACGTACCTAGCGACGAACCCGAGCGAAGCGAGGGTGAGCCGCTAGTTTTAAATAAAACTATCTTTTCGGATTTTTTCGCGAATTTATTTTTAATTTTTTGGTCACGGCTCAAATTTAATAAATAATATTCTATATTCAATTATAAAGCTAATTAAAATTATATAAAAATGTTTAAAGTTTAAATTATGAAATATTGTAAGATACTTTAGTGCCATTTCAATTTTTCATTTTGTTAATTGTGGGTAGGCCGTCTGTAACAACTATACCTTCGAGACATGTAACATCTCAGTCTCTCCCGTGACCATGGATGCTGTAAAGCATTCGAAACATCGGGAACCAAAAATCAAAATAAATCCGCGAAAAAATCCGAAAAGATAGTTTTATTTAAAACAAAGAATATTTCAAATCGGTCCAGCCGTTTTTTAGTTTTAGCGAGACTAACGAACGGTAATTGATTTTTATTTATATAGATTAATTTGTCAATATTTTATTATTTTGAATTATTTATCTGACGATTAGTTATTTTTATTTAGTGTCTTATTAGTGAGTGCTAAAATTATCTAAAGCAAAGAGAAGTGAAGTGCGATTCATCAGTGCTACTTCTTGTGATACTTTAGTAGAAAACGTCAGATATGGGTAAGTACATAATATTATTTATATAGCGTAGCTTATTTTTCTAAATATAGATAAGTGGGTTTGGGGTCAAGGGTACTCTATATCTTTGCTAAATTTTATCGAAATCTGTTCAGCGGTTTAAGCGTGAAAAGGTATTCATTAAACAATATACTTGAAAATTGTAGGTATTTAAAAAGTGTACAGAAAGTCCGAAGCCGCATCTGTCTATCTTACAGTATATGTATGTCTATCCGTACAGATGCAATAACTATTTTTAACTAGGTACAATATACGTGTTACGTTTTAACGTTTAGTATAGATTGCTCAGAGATGAGATATTTTCCCACAGTAGAAAGTATCCTATATGTTGATCCGGATAACCAGCTATAATCATATCAAATTTCATCAAAATCTGTCCAGTGGTTTTCTCGTGATGCGTTCTCCAGTAAATTCTAAAAACTATAGATTCAGCCTCTGTATCGATAATAACGATTATTTTAATAAGATTTCCTAAAAAATATTTAATTCACAGATTCGACTCGGTTAAAATTTTATTATATGTATAGAAAACGTACCTTACAGCAACGGTAAAACGAACAGTACGTTAACACAAACAGTAAAAATGGGACTTTGCCAAAAAATGTCTGGGATTTAGTTTGATCCCTGGAAATGGTACAGGATAATAATTTAATATAGACGACGTGTAATGTGCTAAAAGTGTACGAATGGATTACACCGTAATTAGAGGATTAGAAGGGACGCTCTAGTGAGGGGGATGAAAGGGGGGGGGAATATATTTTGGACGTTAAATTTTCCTATAATATACAAGAGACTACTTATTTTCAACAGAAATCAAAACTGGAGTATATATTATATCAATTTTGACGAAAGTTTGGCTCAGTTTGTTGCTCTGCCAGTGGCTGCGGGTTCGAGTCCCCCTGGGGGTATTCATTTGTATGATGAGCACGAATTTTTGTACTCCAGTATATATATATATATATATATATATATATATATATATATATATATATATATATATATATATCGGTATCTATCGCGAAAAAGCGCCTCATAACTGACCCGTGATTACATGGTTCCTGAGCGTAGCGAGAGCGATTCGTTAGTTTAAACTAAAGCTTGTATTTCAAAACTTTTTGATTGTGCTCTAAATGACAAAAGACCGTTGTTCCGATAACGTTGACATCTGACGAGAGACGTCAATTGTCTACAGAATCCATAGAAATTGATAGAAAAACCCTGGCTATTTGTTTGTTTTCATTGTACTATGTGAGACTAGAGACCTACCCTGGCTTTGGACAGAGTAAGGGTGGGGCATATTGTTGAGATTCTATTGGGTTATTCTGAGTAGAACTGCTTTCTGAGCCGGTGGTAGCTTCCTCTGTCTTCACGAACTGACAACACTGATGCTCTTTAATTATATTGACGATTCAAAAGTGCTTATAATAAGTCTAATTGAATAAAATTTATTTCATTTCATATGTCTTTCGTTGGATCTATTTATTGTTTTTTTGGTGATGGTGCCTTTTGTAATTATAATATTATATAAGCATTGGTGGCCTAGTGGTAACGTGATTGTTTGGAAAACCAAGTGAAGCAGGTTCAATTTTTGGTCTCGTAACATTGGTATTTTATTTTGCGAATTTCCAACATGTTTACGATGAAGGAAAATACCGTGAAAAAACCTGAATGTCTGAGAGAACCTAATAAAAAGTTTTTGGACGACATGTAAATTCCATTCTTGCCCAGCGTGCTGGATTATGACCTGATCCCCCTCGTATTGAGGAGAGTCCCACCCCCAGCAGTGGGTCGTTAAAAAGAGCTGTATAGATATAAGCAATGGTGTATTATTGTTATAGTTCATCATAATTATTGTCACATTAGCGACTCACCTTCGCTTCGCTCAGGATCGTCCCAAGGTTGCTTCCCCATACAATCTGTCACCCTCTTAAAGAATGTTTTCCGGGATAAAACTATCCTATGTCCTTCTCAGGGTCACAAACTATCTTCTTACCATCTAAATCGGAATCTCAGAATTTCATCTAAATCGGATTCAATAGTTTCGGAGTCTATTCGATACAAATAAACAAACAAAAAAAATCAGTTTAACAAATGTTCGACGTGATTCTTTAAATTGGCATATTTTTTTATTTATGAAACGATTGACATGAAACAAACATTAAATTTTAAGTGAAGCTTACCAAAATATATTAGTGGAAATCACATCTAAATCGGATAAGCCGTTTCTGAGATTAGCGTGCACAAACGCACAGACAAACAGATAAACAGACAATAATTCTAATAATCATTGTTTTGATGATATTTGCATTGATAAAGGTCTCAATAATATTTTTCTCATATATCTTCAATGTACAGACAGCCATCTGTTAGATTTTTATTATATGTATAGATAATTATAATTGTCTAAGTTCATTTATAGATATTGCTTGAATTATTTCTACACATTTTCATATTAAGTAGATATCTTGTATAGAGGGTACGAACTAAATAGAAACTATAGCAGAAATAAGCCATACATATTTATGAAGACAATGTCAAGTGACGTGAAAGCGCATAATTCTTGACATAATGTTGGAGATTTTAATCTAGCAAAGTCACAATAAAATAAAATATGCTGATTCCGTTGGTAATATTATATAGTGTTACATCACTACTTGGTAATCATATTTTATAATAATAAATGAGCAATTTTTGTATATTATGTGTACATTTATTTCGTGTATCTCGGAAACGGCTCTAACGATTTGGATAAAATTTTGTATGTAGATAAGGTTTTGCTTTTAAAGTTCATCTATATAAGTGTCTTTTTCGGAAGAGCGCCGAACAAAGCTCTATCGCCGAAGCACTTACTCTATCTTGCCACCAAACAAGAACTTGCTCGGTTGCCTGCCTAGCTGCCAAACAGTAGCCCTACTCCAGGTCTTATCTATCTATATATTAAATTACATCCAAATCAGTCTAGCCATTTCCGTGTAAAGAAATAACAAACAAACACACACACATGCATACAAACATATACCAACTTTTGCACACATAATAATAGTCTCATATACTCTCTACTCTCTCATCTACTCTTTGGCAAATATTATTACTAACACTACCCTATGTGTTACTCCAGCTCGAGCCTATCTGTGTCCTAAATTTCATCCAAATCCGTCCAGCAGTCTCAGCGTATAGGAGTAACGAATATACACTTATAAAGATTTTCACATTTCTAACTGTAGTATTGATATATAAAGTACTAGGCGACTTACCCTCTCTTCGCTCTTAAGCATCTTTAGGTACGTTTTAATTATTTTGAGCTCCTTATAACATCAGCTATCTGCCAGTGAAAGTCCCGTAGAAATCAGTCCAGCCGTTTCAGAGATTAGCCGGAAACAGACAGACAAACGGACAAACATTTTGAAAATTGAGTTTTTCTAATCAGTACCGTATATCATATGCATTTAATAAAAAGCTGTTATTTTGACATTACACACAGACACTTATATTTATCTGTAAAGATTAATCCAAATTTTCACTCAAATCCGTTTAGCCGATAAAGCTTGAAAAAGTGACAAACAAACACACTCACTAAAAATTATTAGTAAACATAATTTTATATAACATAAATCCATAACAAAACGAATTCCACTAGACAGAGACAAATCAGTTCCAAAACAATTTAGGCCTTGTACAGTAATTCTGAACACGTAGCACGTCATATCTCGTAATGAGCAACGGCTGTAAATTTATCTGTTGTCCGTGGGATTGACATTTTAATCCCGTGGGATTATAGTTTACTAAACGGGATAAAGATTTAGAGCCTGCTTATTTAATCTCAGTGCTTAAGCGCTTCAGATTAACCTAATGAAAGAGAAGATTGATTAATAATAAAATTCTAACTGAGACGAATCTGTCTATACATTAAAAATTTTTTAGAAAATCTCATTGAAATAGTCTTTATTATCGATAGAGAGGCCGAATCTATAGTTTTTAGAATTCTTGTCTGTCTTTCTGTCTGTTTACATACATTGTTTAACTTTTGTTGATAGTATATTTTTCTTTTAACACACATTTTTCTCATATATATCTTTAATTATATAAAATGAATTGATTGATTGTGATTGCTTCAGCCCTTTTATCGTCTCATTGCTAGGTTCCACCTTCCATCAATACGAGGGGAATCAACATCAGATTAGTGAACTTCATATGTCTTTAGACAAATAATTTTCTTAGCTGGCAGTTTTCCTCACGATATTTTCCTTCACCGTAAGACAAGTGATAATCAAGTTGAAAATGATTCGATCCTGAGAATATCAGTTTAAGATCTGGGGTCGTTCGGGAACCCGACCAGGGTAGCCGGTTTCATCACTTGGAAGTCTCAGTCTCAGTAGACTGTAATAATTCTTGTGACGCTTCATTACAATAGAGAAATAAACAAGTGCGTGTGTGTGCAATTTACACATCGTAGAAGAGAAACTTAAGTGAAACTTAATATGTATTATATATTTGTCAGACAATAACAACGGTTACCATGGCAACATGGCAATGTATTTTATCTCATTCTCTCGCCGTCCTTTATATTTATGTGTTTGTCTCTTTCTAATGTCGCATTTCCGTTTCATTTCCGTTTCATCGAGTTTCAAATCACAACGATTCTAAAGAAGTTTCATTTCAAAAGAAGAATCTGACTTCATGAACCTAGTAAGCCCTATTCTATAGGCAGTAACACGAACTGTACCAGAATGTTGCCTAAAAGTGGTTTGAAGCGACATATTGTTATACACTTCTTGTAACTTTCTTAGAAAGTTTGTTTCAAGTGTTTCATATCTGTTATGAACGTAACGTTCTAGTTGAAGAGGTTTTGTATCCATTTAATATATACAATTTGTGTGTGTATTTGTTACTTTGTCACGCTGAAACGGTTAAACCAATTTAGATAAAATTTCGTATATAAATAGAATACAATATGGATTAGCACATAGGCTACTTCTAGTCAC